GGGGGGCTGTGGCCATGGGTCCCACGGGGGGGGTGGGCTGAGCGGGGTCTGGAGTAGGCAGGTTGTGTCCCAAGTGCTGCTTGGGGGGTGCTTTCTTGCGGGGGTGAGCATTGCTCTGTCTCCTGTCACCTTCCTGGGACAGCTCTGTGTCCCCCAGCCAGTGCTGGCTCCCACAGGGCTGTGCTTTTCCCCCTCCTCGCTGCTGCAGTGTGTAGGGCAGCAGCAGCCTGGCCAGGTACCCTGGTCCTGTTGGGGCGTTCATGGGGACTGTCCCCACTCCTCCCGCTGCTGACATGCTGTGTGGTGCTGTCCCTGTCTCCCTGCGGCCCCATGGGAGATGGCTGTCCTGGGCAGGAGCAACGGTGCTGTGGCGGTGCAGCTTGGGCCGACCCTGCTTCTGGGAGCAGCTCCCCTGGCCCTGGGGCTCTTTCCACTGTGTGTGCCAGCTGATGGCTCGGTGCGTGGGTCCTGCCGCGCTGTGCTGCCCCGGAGCCCTGCTCCCTGCTTGGGCAGGGCTGCCAGCTGCCTGGCCAGGCTTGCCAACTCCTGCCGTGCTCTCTCAGGAGCTGTGGCCCTGCTGAGGAGTGGGGCTGGATGGTGCCGCCCCATCCCAGGGGGGAGAGGGGCAAGGGGGACGTAGCGAGACCTTGGCCCTTCCCTCCCACTCCCCCAGGCAGCAGCCTCTGCCCACAGCTGCACGGGCACTGTCTCACCCCCTAAATATAGCTGGAGCGTCAGGGCGAGTGGTGGGACGGGGATGTTCCTGGCACTGTCCGTCCTGGGCGCCCTTCCATGCTGCTGTTTGGGGGCGCTGGTGCTGGACAGGGTCTGCGGGGCCTGGAGGACCCCGGCCTGCACCCGGCCCCGCTGCTTGCAGGGGAGAGCATGCACCTCCCAGCGACAGCCCAGCAGCTCTGCTCTCCCCGGGCCCTGCTCTCTGCCTAGTGCTGTGCACCCCACGCCAGCCTGCCCCGGCCACCCAGGGTCTGGCGGGACGGGGCCCCAGCCCCTTGTCCTCCCCGGGCAGGAGGCGGCCGGGGAGCCCTGCGGAGCCCCCGGGGAGAAGCGCTGCTCGTCCCGGGGGAGCGGGGCTCTGCCCAGGCCGAG